GCGGACAGCAAGATCGTCGAAACGCATGTGATCGGCCGTGCATTATAAGCGACATTTTACAGTAGTAGCGTGCTGAGGTGTCTGCGAGCCGTATTACGTGCTGTAGCTAAGGACTCTGGCACTGAGATCCTTGCCTCAGGCAGCTCTTATTCCCGGTTTGTAGGCAGCTATATTACCTGACACCCACTTCTAGTATAAGGTTCGTTGCCGAGCTGCGTAGATTTGTTGTGCGGAGTAGACAACCCTTTTACGAGACATCTAGTGTTATGAGGATTCACTACTGCGTATTACTATAAGACTAGTTACTTTTAAAAGTTATAGTTATATAGTTTAGGTGAGTTATAGTATCTAGCTTTGAGATTTACATTACGTACGCAGATAAAGTTATAGGCTCTCGTCAATATACTCTGCTCGCCAGCAATGCAACGTGTCAAGCGACGACTGTGTATCATGGTGTTGCTCGCCAAGGACCTGCTGGCGCGATTAGACGCATATTTCCATCAGTGCAAGAGCCTCCTCGCGGCGAGCTTGCGACTGCAGCGTGAAGGCGAGATTGTTCGTGCTGGTCAGCGTGTTAGGATGCTCGTCGCCAAGCACTCTCTTCCTCATCTGCATCACTTGCACGTCTAGCTCTTCAGCCTCTTTATATCTCCCATCATTGTATAGACTCGTAGCACATTTCCATGCAAGATCTAATCTCTCCTCGTTACTATCCTCTATCTAACTATGCGATAGAGCGAACAGAGCATACGGAAGCAAGCGCCTCCACTTACTTCTGTTACTGTGATCGTCGTTTGGAAACACCTCAACCAGCTTTATAATAACGCGTTAAGTCCATTGTTGGAGCTGTCCCTGACCTTATAATTTAGTACGTAGAATATCATGCACTAGTCGATAGACGTCTAGTACTAATTCGGCAGGTCGTCTAGTGACGAGCGCATACTTATTAAGCACTTTAACGGCATCTTCACGGGCCCGTAGTGAAGCTGCTTCTAGGAGATCAAGGGAGATGTCCTTTCAATCTATGCATACAGCAATAAAAAGATAGTCTATAGCAACTGTATCGCTGTTATAGACTTAGTTTATAGAGAGAGATAGTATAGTAGCTATAGTATTTCTTAGAATACACTCCTGCTGCTCGCCTTCAGAAAATTCACCTCTGTACTTAAGAGCTGCATCTTTATACTAGTCTAGCTGTAATTAGTACTACTACACGGTTATATTACTAGCGTTTATGCACGCTGCCGCTTACGCGATTACTAGAGGCAGATATAACAGCTCCTTTAGCAACTATATAGCAACCTATTACTTAGTATTCGAGAACAGCGTTGCTAGGCGGCTTTATAGCATCCTTAGCGCCGTGTCTAGCGTTAACTGTGATGGGCTATCCAGCCCATCACAGTTCAGATGGCGGCGGCCATCTTATGTATCAACTACGCAACAATATCAGCATGCCCTGATATCTTGTGCCAGCCCTTTTGGCGCGGTGGGCGCGTTGTAGTTGCGTGCGCAGTCTAATAGGGCTCGACCCGTTACATTAGCTTATACAACGCTATAACGTTCTAAAGAGTAAGCGCCTTAGCTATATTAGTCTCTATTATCATAAAGATAATAGAATATAGATTAGAGTATAGCAGAAATTTAGCTAAGTTTATTCTAGTAGCTTCTATTATAGATAAGCTACTTAGCTATATAGTAGTACGCTCCACGTTGTCGAAGACTAGTAAATACTTTCGCGTACTTATTCCTACTACACAGCGTTTTACGATCTGCTTTATATCTACCTAGTTATTGTTAAACTTAGAAATACTAAGCTTGTACGTAACGATGGCATAATACTAATAGAGGCTATCTCTATCGCTCAAGTCTATCTAGAAAACTAAGTGTAACGCTGTTACAACACTGCTAAGTATCGGACCCATCCCAGAGCCGGATCGGAGGAAGTATCCGTCGCTCCCTTCTCTCCGTCAATCGTTCTTAAAGTCGGACCCGACTCGGATCCGACTAGGATAGACATATAAGGAGACACTTGTGGTAGCTAGTTCTGTAGACTTTTGATATCCTTTCGTACAAGGCCTATAGGTGTCTATTCGAATCAAGGCTCGTTTGATGTCCCACGCACTCCCATATGCCTCTGAGTGACGCTACTGCCAGTACTGATCCGACTAGTCCTGCCTGCGCCATTACAATAGGTAGCCTCTACTATTTTACTTTATTCTAAAGGCAGCCTTGAGTACGAGCTACGATTTGCCTATTCCGCTAGGGCTAATAATTACTAGCGTAGTATTAGTCTATATATTACTAAAGAGCTTCGCTTCTAGCTCTATAAGCTGTGGTTCGCGGCCTATAAAAGACTAGTTTCGTAAGAATAGAATAATTAATAGCGCGTTGCCTGCTCCCTCAACTTTAGTCTGTAGCCTCTTTAATACGCACTCCTTTCCTTCTCTATAGGTTATAAGTATAGAGACGTTAAGAACTCTAAGTAGGTAATATTATATAGTAGTTAATTAAGTAATATTTTATCGCCTATGCGCTATCCTTTACACGAGAAGAACCCAACTAACACTAGCGCGACCAGCTCTTAGAGCGTCTAGCCTTAAGTGAACTATTCGCTCTTCTAGAACGTCTCCTAGTCGCTATGTTAGGACGTGTCCGCCGTAGCTGATAGCGAGACATCTAATAGAAAGACGTAATATCAGGCGGCGTTCTAGTACCACTAGAATATCGAGTTAATCGCCTTTAAGCGTTTATTATTATTCTATCTATCAATATAGTATATGTCGATCTAGGAGTACTATAGCCCATCCTAAGCTACTTATTTAGCGCAGAACTATAGCTTTCAGTGTTATGGGCGAAGAGGCCTTCGAACGAGTTTGCATTAACCTATAGTACAGAAGAAGAAAGATAAGAAGAGTTAAGCTGTCGTACGACACCTCTCTCTTTATACCTTGCTTCTCTACTCTTCGTACGAGTAAGTTCTAACTAAGCGGTGTGATATAGGCACGTGATGTAGGCACGTGATACAATCACGTGCTTTCACTCCACGGGCGCAGCCCATTACAA